CAAAAGACCAGAACCATATGATCTTGTCAATTGATGCAGAAAAGGCATTTGACAAAGTCCAACACCCTTTCATAATAAAAACTCTCAGCAAAATAGGAATAGAAGGGAAATCCCTCAACATAATTAAGGGCATCTATACAAAATCAACAGCAAACATCATCCTAAATGGAGACAGTTTGAAAGCATTCCCCTTGAGAATCGGAACCAGACAAGGATGCCCTTTATCATCACTCTTATTCAACATTGTGCTGGAGGTCCTAGCCAGAGCAATTAGCCTAGAAAAAGAAATAAAGGGCATCCAAATTGGTTAGGAAGAACTAAAAGTTCCTCTATTTGCAGATGATACAATCTTATACACAGAAAACCCCAAAGAATCCACAGAAAACTATTGGAACTAATAGAAGGTTTCAGCAAAGTTTCGAGATAAACATACAAAAATCAGTAGCATTCCTCTACACTAACAGAGAAAACCTCCAAGAGGAAATCACCAAATCAATACCATTAACAATAGCCCCCAAGAAGATAAAATACTTAGGAATAAATCTAACCAGAGACATAAAAGACCTAACAAAGAAAACTACAAGACACTACTGCAAGAAACCAAAAGAGACCTGCATAAGTGGAAAAACACACCTTGGATAGGATAGGAAGACTCATGGATATGGATAGGAAGACTCAACACTGTGGAAATGTCAATTCTACCCAAAGCGGTCTACAGATACAATGCAATCCCGATCCAAATTCCAACGGCATTTTTTAATAAGATGGAGAAACAAATCACCAACTTCATATGGAAAAGGAAGAGGCCCTGAATAAGTAAACCATTACTGAAGAAGAACAAAGTGGGAGGCCTCATACTACCTGATTTTAGAACATACTATACCGCCACAGTAGTCAAAACAGTTTGGTAATGGTACAACAACAGATACATAGACCAATGGAACAGAACTGAGAATCCAGATGTAAATTCATCCACCTATGAGCAGCTGATATTTGACAGAGGCCCAAAGTCCATTAATTGGGGAAAAGACAGTCTCTTTAACAAATGGTGCTGGCAGAACTGGATATCCATCTGCAAAAAACCGAAACAAGACCCATACCTCATGCCATGCAGAAAAACTAACTCAAGATGGATCAAAGACTTAAATATAAAATCAAAAACTGTAAGGATCATGGAAGGAAAAAAAGGGACAACGCTAGGAGCCCTGACACATGGCATAAACACAATACGAACCATAAGTAACAGTGCACAAACACCAGAAGAGAAACTAGATAACCGGGAGCTCCTAAAAATCAAACACTTATGCTCATCAAAAGACTTCACCAAAAGAGTCAAAAGACAACCTACAGACTGGG